AACTGTTTAATCTTAAGTGTTCCCATTGTAACCTATGCATATGTGTGTGTGTGTGCTTTGTAATATAGTATTTATAAGTTACTCATATTCTTTATATTTTTTCTAGACTAGAAGCTGTATCCACTGCACTTGTCCCCAAATTGTTGTTATATACATGTTTTCTGAATGAAGGATAGCATTAATATGTTATAATTTTCTATTAACACAGAAAGAAGACTAACAATTAAACCTTCCAAATGCAAGAGGTCTATGTATCTTTCTTAGATGGCAGCAATGAGGTGAGAACTTACGAAAAACCCTCTCAGCAGCCAATCTTGAAGGAAAGTACCCTAAGATGCAGTGTGGGTAGCATTAGCTTTGACCAGAGGAAAGTAGGACAATCTGGGGTGGGGCTTATCCGAGATTAGAGGACACATGGCCCAGTAGGCTATCCCCGAATATTCGTCTAGAATACGGGCCAAGGTCCTAAAGTTTGAGAGGCTGTTGAGATTCCCCCAACAGTTAGTGTGGTAAAAAGAGAGTCAGACTTAGTAGGATAACCAGGATGCTGATATAGTTTGGATATCTGTCTCCTCCAAATCTCATGTTGGAATTTGATCCCCACTGTTGGAGGAGGGACCTATTAGGAGGAGTTTGGGTAATGGGAACAGTTCCTTCACGAATGGCCTGTTCCCCTCCTCATGTGACACAGTGGCTCCTCTCTGCCTCCTGCCATGCGTGGAAGCCAGAGGCTCTCACCAGAAGCAGATGCTGGTGTGATGTTTCTTGTATAGACTGCAGAACCATGAGCCAAATAAATCTCTTTTCTGTGTAAATTCCCTAGCCTTAGCTTCCTTTATAGCAACACAAACAGACTAACGCAGGTTTGTGAGCAAATTACTGTGTAAATTAGTCACTCTGAGACTTAGTTTTCTAATAGACAATATTAGTAATAGCATCCACCCCATAAAATCATTATTATTAAAAGAGATAATGTTTTTGGTATGCAGGGTGCTTAATATATGTTGTGTAAAAATACTCTGGCTATAATCAACTAACTAAATTTGACATTTTCTTTATTATTATCTATTTCATTAAGTAGAATAAACCACTCATCCATTTTTACTGAAAAAAATACAAAGTCACATGGTATTTCTGCCCCTAGGTTTCTGAGGAATCGCCACACTCTCTTTCACGATGACTAAGCTAATTTACACTCCCATCAACAGTGTAAAAGCATTCTTTTTTTTCCACAATCTTACCAGAATCTGTTGTTTTTTGACTTTTTAATAATCATCATTCCGACTGGTGTGAGATGGTATCTCATTGTGGTTTTTATTTGTATTTCTCTAATGACCAGTGATTATAAGCTTTTTTTCAAATCTCTTCCTTTGAGAAATGTCTGCTCATGTCTTTTGCCCACTCTTTAATGGGGTAGATTTTTTCTTATAAATTTGTTTAAGTTTCTTGGAGAGGTTGGATATCAGACCTTTGTCAGATGGATAGGTTGCAAAAATTTTCTTCCATTTGGTAGATTATTTGTTTACTTAGTTGATAGTTTCTTTGCTGTGTGGAAGCATTTCATTTAATTAGATCCCATTTGTCAATTTTTGTTTTTGTTTTTTGTAATTGCTTTTGGTGTCTTCATCATGAAATCTTTGCCTGGGCCTGTGACCCAACTGATATTGCCTAGGTTTTCTTCTAAGGTTTTTACAGTTTTGGGTTTTACATTTAAGTTTTTAATCCATCTTGAGTGGATTTTTATACATGAAAATTATTTAAACATTCTAGTAATTACAGGAAACAGATACTGAAGCTTATTGCTAAATGTTGGAGCATATGGGGTATTTTATTTCTAACAACGAAGTATAAAATAGGGTAAAGCCACAATCTAGAACAATACTAAATAACCTCACATACATCGCACATGTACCAACACACTGCCACACACACAAAAACACACATGCACACACCAAATAAAAATTGAAAGCACTAATATGCCTATAATTCATCCTAGATAAAAATATTTTTAATGGCTTAAATTTCACAGATAATGGAAATAGCATAGTAATATGAGTTATGTAGATTATGTCACTAGAAAAAATAAAGAAAATGAGAAGGGCAAGGAATTAGCTTTCCTTGAACATTTTAAATGTTGTCTGAGAAGTGGGACAGCATTTGGGAGAGGTGTAGAGAAGATGACTTATCAAACAATCTCTAGATTTACCTCCATTGGTGCTCTTGGCACACTGTTGCCACTGGTGTATTGGCCCATGTCCCTGAATAAACAGAGTATACCTTTGTGTTCCTGACACCTAGCTTAATTTCCATGGAATAAACATTTCATGAAATAATAAATAAATAACAAATGAATGAACTTCCTGGTAGGACTTCTATTACTCTAGTCTCTTGCTTGATGGAGCATGTAGCTTAATGAACTTGGCCTTTGACTTGATTATCACAATACCCTGGGAATGAGAGAACATTAACATACGCTGTGCTCAATACATTTAACACTTCCTTTATGATTTTTGAATAAAATTTTTCTGTTCAGCAAGTCCAGGAGCAGTGGCTCATGCCTGTAATCTCAACATTTTGAGAGGCCAAGGTGGGTAGATCACTTGAGCACAGGAGTGGAATAATCTTATTTTCATCTAATACAATTATTAGCTGTTTACAATTAATCTACCTAATATTGAAAACTGGAATAATCTTATTTTCATCTAATACAATTATCCATGATTACAAGCATAACAATGAGACTCCAAGGTAAAAACCAAGAACGGTGTAAGTGGTCAGCAATGAAAGGTTTAGAAACCCACATAGAGAGAAAAGTCTCGTTAGATGCAGTGAAAGCTATAGTATAAAGGAAATTACATTAAGCTACTTTTCAAAAATCATGTCTCTGATAAAACTTGAAAGATAATTCAAGTTTCTCACTACCTCAGATTTTAAATTACAAAAAAATTTTGAAAGGACTTTTCCTAAGAAATTACAATTAGTAGCTTTTAAGAGACAAGCTTCTGAATGCTATATTAGGTCCATATGGTATGTATTTGGTGCATCTGCTAAGTGCACATAAAGGCACTGGAGTAGGGAACTGAAATATCCTGAGGCAAACCCCTGATCCCAGCAGCCAGTGTAGCAGTATCAGCAGCTAGCCTCAAGGAATCTTGTTTACTAATGCCAAGGGAATATATGATAGTTCTGAGTTAGCTGTTTACAGTTAATCTACCTAATATTGAAAACTGGAATAATCTTTTGCTTTTGGATTCTACTCAAATTTAAGCAACATGGTGATATTGGCTTCTGCAATCCACTGGAGATGCTGTGTGAAGCTCCAAATCTATTGCCGTGTTAGCCAGTGAAGGCTCACCGAGGAGAAAATCATTCATGTAAGTTGGCCTTCAGTTAGGGAAATTTTTCAAAAGTTTTCCTACGGATGGAATTACTACAGTGGCTAATATGGATCTTCAGCTCCGAGGGTCATGGAATGCTGTTCAGCAGAGAAGGAAATATTGAAACAAGTAGAAGGTCAATTTAGAAGAGGCAGTGATCTGAATCTCCCCCAGGGTGCCCTCACATTAAGCTCAGATTTGTAATTGAAAATAAATCTTTTATGTCGGGGTGACAAGTCTGAGGTCCTGTTCTGGGTGCAGTTTTCACTAAGCATTATATTTTCCTGCTTGAAGTCACTGTCCTTTTCAGCTGATTTGACCTGTAATGCCACAGTTAGATGTTGGCTGCCAAGTGATTAGCTATTCAAGAAAAAAAGTGAAACTAATGTCTGTATTAATATACATGAGGTGAAATGAGAAGGAATCTGAGGCTGGAAGACACAGAGACTGATGTTACAAGCTGTGCAGCCAGGGATACTCCCCCAGATACAGTGGCAGAATCAAACCCAAGAGGAAGGGTGACATTTGTCGGAGATGGTACAAGAGACAGCTGCTGTGGCATGAAGTGACGGCTTGATTCTCCAGCACTTTACTGTAAAGAGTGAGTCCGTTTTCAGAATAAAAAGAGCACATTGTTATGCCACTTACCAAAAAGTATACAAGTACAGAATTCATATTTTTTCTTTTACATTGAAGATTGGAGGGGAGCTATGTTGAAAAAAAGAAATAATTTTTTAAAACACTTGGTCATTTTACAAAGAACTTCTACATCAGTTTGTAGCTACTGAGCACCTAGCCTATTTTCCATCTGATAGAAATATCCCTTCCTTCTCCTAGAGAATCAGACAGTGATGAAAATCACTTAATACCATGAACATGAAAAAATCTTTTAATGAAAAATAGTTCGTTAAATGAACATTTGTTGGGCATCTTTTCTTTGCCAGACACTCTCCCAGATTCTCAGTTTATGGTTTTAATAAAACACATCTCCTATTCTTCCTTTTCGGCTTTCCTGCAATCTCACCATGGAGACACTATGTGGAAAAAAGATGCTTTGGAGCCTATGTACTGAATCAGAGTTTCTGCAGAGGGACCTAGAATCTCTAGGGTGGAATCTGCCTTGTTATCAAATTCTCACGTGACTCTGATGTATCCTAAAATTGGAGATCTCTGATGTCTTAAAGAATGTAAATAATTTAGACAAAAATATTAGAGTTGGAAGCCTTTAGTAATTAGTGCGACCATATAATTTTTCAGATGAGAAAACTGAGGATCAGAGAGAGAACGTAAATTGCATTATTTCACACAGCTGGTTAGGACCCAATTTTTCTGCCTTCTAGTCCAATGCTAATCAAGGAAAAAAATATATAGGTTGTGGATTTCTTTACTCAAACAACTCACAGTATATTGTGTATGTTCCCTCTCTTTTTTGCTTTGCTAGTAAACTATTTCTACATAACAATGTTTTATTATAATAGGAATTTCATACATTTCCTTTCCTTTTTGCTTTTCTAATCTACCATTTTTATGTAATGGTGTTTTTTGTTATAAGAACATGATGGCAAAAATCTAGTAGCTGAAACTGTCTACTCAGTTGACCTTTCCTCCAGACCAAATTAAAAAAAATATATGGAGTGCTTCAGGAATTTGAGTGTCATTCTTTCACAGAGGCCATGTCAATCTTCTCCGTATTGTTCCAATTTTAGTATATGTGCTCCTGAAGTAAGCACCAGACTACATTTTATCCACACTTAACTATTCTAGAGAAGTAGGGGTATTTTTCCATGCAAAAATCAGTTTCCCTATGACAAGTGAATATGTGAGGCCTGTTGTCTATACCTTTATTAGTTTTTCTTGCAGTTAGAAATGCTGATTTTTATCTACAAATTATCCTTATATTTCTAAAGGAAAAACTGGATTTTTAAATGTGGGCCAATAAAATCCTTATTCTTGCTTTTAAAATTCTATCTACCTTGAGAAAAAAAAAAGTTCTGTTATAAACTAATTTTATTATTCTCTTTGTCAGGAAACTTTTCCCAGAGCTAAGATATCTATGTACCTTAAGCCGGTTTTCTTTCTTTTTTTTTTTCTGCACTAGAAAAGATGGAAAACATCTGGCAGCTTCCTCTGGCAGGATATTCAAAGAAAATACTTTCTTTACTCTTCAGGCAAAGCAATCTAATTCTTTTTTGCCAATGTTGTATGGAACTATACTCCAACTTTTATACAAGTGTATAAATGCATAATGTAGATAGATATTAGTTGATCAGAGCCAAATTAGAGTAGCTTAATTCGCAATTTATTTAAATAAAGTTAATTGTAACGAAATCAATGCTATAAATTGTACAGAAAATAATGTGCTCTTTAGGGTTTTCACCTGTTAACCTTGACAAAAGAAATATCCTCACGCAACAAGCTAACTTTTTTCAAGCTTATCTAAGAGGAAAGGTCATCTGGTATATTGCAATTGCCCGGCTTTGCCCAGGTGCCATAAGGTAACCCATGTAACAGGGCCACCTTGTGGTTGAGGACATTGTCATGGCACAAGAGAGTCTGCCTCCAGCAGATATCTTTTTCTAATTTGCACAAAGTTACTTTATGAATTAGTGGCAGCTCACCAAAAGGACTACAACAAGCTCTGGCCAAGTGTTCAACATTAGATTTGATTGTAAACAGGCTTAGACTTTTTCCCTAAATATTAAGGAAGGCTCTCCAACCATTTCTTACAAAGAAAATTACTCATTATATTGTGAACTGAAAACCTGTTATTAAATAAACATTATTTGAAAAACGTTTATGTCACATTATCCATTTCTGTGAATATTTTAGAGTTATAAAAATTGATCAGCATCAGTTATAGAAAGTTTGACAATCAGAGGAAACCTTGATTCCCTACTAGACTAAGCTGGTATATTCACATTGTGCTCAACAGTAAAACAACAACAACAAAAAGCCTATTTCTTATTAAAAACGGCATGTCAGATTCTGCCCAGAGAAACCTCACTCAGAGGAACAAGGAAGGCTCTAAGGGTAGAAGGGGTGATCAATATTTGATTATCTATATATCCTGGGTCACAGCTGCTTCTTTCTCCTGAGCTGGGCTGTAGTCTTTAAATTATTTATGATCAGAAGTAAAAAATATTTTCTCAAACTCGGCTTCAAGGCCCAGCATCAACTCTGCTTCACTAATATGACCTCCTTCTTTCTTCCTCAGCCTCTTTGACTCATGCCAGGCAGACTTGTTTCTCCCTTTTCTAGACCTCAGAGTCTTCCTCTAGGCTTTCGGTTATGCCAGTGTCCTTCTAGTTGTGTTTCCTTTGCCATTTTAAAGTTCCTCTGCAACAGATCTTCACTCATGAAGCAATAATTTTGTCATGTGCAATGCTTTTTCCCCCAAAACAGACCCCTTAACTGAAATCAAATAAATAAAATTTAAATAAAAACACATTTGATTACATATATTTGTCTGATCTTTCCAGAATATGAACTAATTACATTTTAGTAATGCCCATTCTATCATATAGCAATTAATAATAATGGTGACTAATTCTATGTAGTATAACTAGAATTTATTGAGAACATTACTCTGTGCTAGGCATTTGGCTAAGGACTTTCATACCATGTTTCATTTAATTAATATAATAGCCCTGATGAGAAGACAAGATTTTCAGTTCCATGTGAGTTAATAACAGACTAACATTTAAGAACTTTGTCCTGAAAAAAGAAAAAAATGTGCACATAATATTTTAATAATGAAGTGTGGCCCTATCTATGATCTATTTTTTTTGAACAAAATATTCTTCTGCTGTAACAACCTAAAAGATTTCCCACTCTTCTCAGTATCTCTCTGCTGAACACTTAACTTTTTCTTCCTTAACAAATCATCCAAGCTACAATCTTCTATTCCTTGATAATATAATCTTCTCCTTTCCAGAGGTCACACATTGGAACAAATGCATGACCCATTTGTGACAATGAAACACAGCAGCCTCCTTCTTCTAATACAAAGGCACAATCAAAGAAGAGAAAAATAACTAAGCAAAAAAGGAAAGGAGAGAAAACTCCCCTGGTTTTAAACATAACTCAATAGAAAATTGGTCTTTCATCAAAAGTATTTCCAGGCTAACGACTTGTGGTTGCTTTAGCTTTCAGTTAAGTAGAATAGAACTCACTTTTTACAAAGTAGGTAAGTGGATGAAGTACTCATTCAATTTTACATTAATTTTAAAGGGAATGTGAACCAGCTTCAGTTGATATGAGCACTCATCTCAAAGAAAGCGTTCTGTCAGAGCTCCAGGGGACAGAAGTGTCCGGCCTTATTTCAAGAAAGGACCATATTCACCGGTCGTGCAATGCAAAGAGACTGACATTGGATCTTTGCCCTGAGAGCTCCATTCTTCGCATCTCCTGTTTAGTTCTATACGGTTCTAAGGGAGAGAAAAAAAAACTCTCTTGATTGCATTCAGAACATATCTTATAGTTCGGTTCAAAAGAAAATTTATCGGCAGCATGTGACAGGTACCACACAAGGCACCAAGTGTAGAGAGGTATGGGAAATAAGTAACTTGTGAATTAGAGCAATCACATTAAAATGAAAATAAAGGAATAAATGCAGTTCCCAGCTACGGCTATACATAAATGAAGCAGTGATATAATAGACCAGATAGGGGAAGGGCAGAACCTATAAAAGGTATGTTTTTAATATCCACAACACAGGACTTGAGATGTGCATCATTTTATTCAGAGTCTACGGCTGTACCATTAAGAAACAAATATATGGATACTAATGTAATTGTTATATCCCCTCTGTAATTTCTAACAAATCTCATCTGAATCTTTTAATTAAATATAGCACCATCACAAATTTCCTGGATGTGAAGAAGCCACAGAGTAGGAAGAAGAGGAGCAGGATCCAGGAAGATGACAGGATGGAAATAGTATGAAAAACTCTAATATGAAGAGTCTGTATTGTATTATAGTGCCCACTTTTGTTCTGACCTCCACACTATATAGTCTTTATTTAGAGATCTTTATTGTAGAGCTGAAGCTCCAAAATACAGTCTTTTATTTATTTATTTATTTATTTATTTGAGACAGAGCCTCACTCTGTTACCAAAGCTGGAAGCAGTGGTGTAATCTCAGCCTGCTGCAACCTCCATTTCCTGGGTTCAAGTGATTCTCATTGCCTCAGCCTCCTGAGTAGCTAAGACTACAGGCATGTGCCACCACACCCAGCTAATGTTTTATATTTTTAGTGAAGACGGGATTTCCCTTTGTTGGCCAGGCTGGTCTCGAACTCCTCAGGTGGTCTGCTTCCCTTGGCCTCCCAAAGTGCTGGATTATAGGCGTAAGCCACCATGCTCAGCCTATACAGTATTTACTTAGCACTCTTTATTATACAATATGTCTCTAGCACACTTTCTACACATACTATGTGTTCAATAAATGCTGAATTGGTGACTCTGCATATTAATGGTGGATACTCTTTATAAAGAACTATCTGCGGCAGGGCGCGGTGGCTCATGCCTATAATCCCAGCACTTTGGGAGGCTGAGGTGGGTGGATCACGAGGTCAAGAGATCGAGACCATCCTGGTCAACATGGTGAAACCCCGTCTCTATTAAAAATACAAAAATTAGCTGGGCATGGTGGCACGTGCCTGTAGTCCCAACTACTCGGGAGGCTGAGGCAGGAGAATTGCTTCAACCCAGGAGGCAGAAGTTGCAGTGAGCGGAGATCACGCCATTGCACTCCAGCCTGCGTAACAACAGCAAAACTCTGTCTCAAAAAACAAAACAAAACAAAAACCAAGCTATCTGTTTGCCTGACTCTGCTCCCTATTAGACTATAAACATTTGGGGATACTGAGGGGAAAGAAAAGAAATCATGCTTTATCCCCCGCCAATCTCTAGCACACAGTATGCCATATGTACACATTTATAGAATAAAAAATATGCAAACGAATCTGGCTATCATTTCTCCCAACTGAAAATGGGGTCTTAGCATTTTAATCCTCTCTACATGTCCCCTTACTTGCTGATGACCTAGATGAGTTTCACTTGCAAATCTGAAGTTGGAGCTAGAAATCTGGTGCCTATCAGTGCCAAAGCTAAATTGTGAAGTGATCCATGTCATTTGCTAACATAGCCAATATGAATGAATCACTCATGCCTGGTCTGCTTATTTTTTGAGTACAGACACAGGCTAAAAACATGTTCTTTGGATTACTATCTTTTTCAATAATCTAATTAATATACGTTACCCGCCTGCAAACTTTCAGGCAGATTTACAGACCCTTTCAGTTCTTGTTCAGATGTGGTTAGACATGGGAGCAAAGCAGAGCAGTAACCATCATTGTGGAGCCTGAATATGTCTGGTCTTTCACAGCCAGTGTGGTTTCCCACTGAGACGGCTGTTACTGGCTTCCTGAGATAGCTTTAATGGACTTTTGGCTTGGGCTCATTATCTCATCTCCAGTCTGGATCGCTTGATGAGTGAGTAATGAATGCAAGTTGGTCAGGCTGACAGCTGTCAACTACCAAGGTGTTATAGATAACTGTAAGTAAATTTAAAGGACTGGAGAGACTTCTGGCTGAACTGATAAAATCATTTAGATGAGAAGTAGAGTGAGAGACAGTGAGAAGTAGAGTGAGAAGTAGTATAAGATGAGAGGTAGAGTGAGAGACAGCAGGAGCAAGAAAGACCTGTTATAAGGCTCTTCATAAGAGTT